ACTCAAACAAAGGATATTAAATCTTCCATCATCTCATTTTCAGTTAATTTTTATGTATCCATGTTTATCCTAAACTCTAGAAGTCTGAAAATTGGTTAATTACAAGAAAATTAAAGTCTTCAGGTTGAATATCTGTTGTAATGAGAAAAATGAATCCATAGATGTTTCTGAGCTATAAAACTGACAATAAAAAGCAATTTATCTGCAATTTAGGAATTTAAATCCATGTTATTCTAAGTGCACAGATGTAAAATAATTAACTATATTAGTAAAAACATACTCCAATACTCAACTCTTGATTGCCATTATGACCAGCTGTCACTCAAAACGACTGAATTTTCTTCTGTGTTATCTCTCTGTGTTTAGAGGCAGAAGAACACACAAGTTGTTCTTTCTGTATTAACAACTTAGGAGTGCAAACATTTTTTAATGGTCATGAGGTGAGAAAATAGTTCTATGTGTAATGCCAATGATTTCTCAGTATCTTTTGAATACTCTTAGCTATTCTATAGTAAATGCTTTGGCCCCTTTGCCTGCTTATTCTACTTAATTCCAACCCCCCCCCCCAAAAAAATAGCCCTTTTATCTATCACTTGCTCTTACCTCCAACTCTGTAGCTAAAAGTAGATTTTTTTTCCCTTTAAACCATATTTCTCTCTGAATACCCTATTCTCACTAATGGCACCATATTCTTTCAGTCATTTAATCCTGAAACCCCCAAAGATTTCCATGAGGTTGAGAAACATAGAAAGGCAGTTAATGTGTGCACTCCCCATCCCCAATTACTGGCAATGTAATTTGCTCAACTTCTCTGTCCCTCTAGCTCCTCCTCTGTAAAATGAGGGTTCTATTCATACCTTCTTTATAGGGTCAGAAGGAGGATTCAATGAGTAAATACATTCAAAGGGCTTAGAAGAGTGCCTGGCACATGTTAAGCCTCAGTAAACACTCGCCACTGCTATCATCTTCCATCTTCCATACCAACACATTTACCGGATGCCTCTCACTTTTGCTTCTACCTTTCCAGCCTCAAAGCCCTTTTCAGGCCCAGGCCTCTTTGCATTCGTCCACTTCCTTGTCTTTGTTGTGACTCATTGGTTTACTTATGTATTTATTCCCGGGATACTGGGGGTGGGGGGGTGGAATTACAATAGGCCAGGAACTGTTTAAGCCCTGGGACTACAACAGAGAGGAAAGCAGACCTGGTCTCTGCTGCCATGGAATTAATTAGTTAGTTCCACAGAACTAATGATCTAGTGCAGGGGTCAGCTGACTATGTCCTGGGGCCAAATCTGGCCCACCATCTGTTTTTGTTAATATAGTTTTATTGGGATACAGCCACACCCATTCACTTGTAGATTGTCTGTGACTGCTTTCAGTAGTGGCAGGGTTGAGTCATTGCAAAAAAGTCTTTATGGCCCATAAAGCAAACTGTAAACTGGCAAAGTTTGCCAACTCCTGTTCTAGTGGTAAAGATAGAATAAGATCCCACTAAAATTAAACTTCCGTCAGTAGAGAGTTTATTGCTACATCATGGAGTCATCCCATACCTACATATGGAATCACTATTCTTCAAATATGCCTCATCATTCTCATCATTCCCCATACGTCTGTCACTGAAAAGTTACACTATCTCGGCCTGTTATTCAAAGCCCTTGACCTCCAGTCTCCTCTTTCAGCCTAATCTACTGCCCTCACCCTCTGCACTCGTTCATGTAGGCAAATCTCACTGCAGAATCCTCCCCAGAACTCACTAAAGTTGCTTAGGCGTCCTGCCTGTGGATTCCCATAGTCCTCATTTTAGCACTTGTCACAGTGTAACGTCATCTGCTTACTTGTCACTTGTCATCTGCTTACTAATCGGATCCCTCCAACAAACAGCAAGTTCATGAGGCCAGAAATGGGGTCTTCTGTGCTGTGGAATCCTCAGTGCTAAGCACAGTGGCAGACACTTAACATGTACAAATATATGGTGTGGGGCAAAAGTAGGTTTACAGTTCATATAAAAATAATACAGTAACTAATAAATATTAATGCAAGAATAAACTCTGTGTTTTGCATGCTCAGAACTGTAAACCTACGTTTGCCCCACCATGTGCATGCGTGCGTGTGTGCGTGTGTGTTTGGTTTAAATGAATTAATATCTACCTCTCTTTTTTTTTTCTACTTTTTCCACTTTATGGGCATGCCACCTCTATACATCCTTCTCCAAAACCTACTCTTCTTCAGGACAGGGTAGTATATATCATTACCCAACGTGGAGAATAATGAAAAACGATTTGAGACTACATGTCACAAGGTTCTAAAGAAGCAAGGGAGGAAAGAAAAAGAAAAATCTGTGCTTGTACAAAATCATTCTGACAAAAAAAATCTTTTAAAATCTAATGTAAAAAAAGTAGTATATGATATTTAAAAGTGATTTTCTAAATCTTTGTAGATATAGGGGGTTTCTTGAGAGCTAAAAATTCTAAGAGAAATCATATGAGGACTTATTTTATTTATCATTTTTCAAATAAAATTATGGTATCTGTATTATTATATTGCTTAATGTGATTTAAGCTATATTTAACATAAAAATATTTTATCATGGCCATGACTGTCTATAATGCAATGAGATTTTGTTCTTAGCTTTGTTTTTTTCCCCCCAGAAGATAAAAATGAACCACTAGATGGTGCAATCATCATGAAAAAGTCATCACATTAGAATTTAAAATATTTTATATAAAAATTCTTTAATAAGAATTAAAACTAGTTTTTATTTATTTTATGAAATTGGTAGGCCAGTCTATTTTGTATAAAATGTCTTTACATATTTTATGCCTTCTGATTGTCAAACAGTAATCAAAATCATTATGTAATTTTGTAGCAGGTTAACTTTATATTTTGTTTTTCTCCGTTTTGGAAAACCTTATACAACTTTTCAAACTTGTATTTTGCACAACTATTACATACACATACACAAAATGGCAACCGACAGACGTGTCTGAGGATATTGCCATTTCCTTAAATAGGATGTTTGTATGGCTCACGGTGAAGGAAGATTTCTATGCTTATTGTATCTATGTGCCTGTGCCTCTATTTGTAAGTTCCTGATAGAGAGAATCTTTGTTTCCAAACCCTCCTAGACCACAGTCCAACAGTGCGTTGGTGAACATGTGGTGTGATGTTATGTTCTCATCCTGAGTTCCTCCCCATGCTGGCTTCTGGATTCCGGCCGCATTCTCTGTGCGGCTCACTGGACTCCTCAGCATATGCTGCCCAGCGGTGCTTTCCCCCAGCACACTCCTCTCAGCTGGCAGACTCACACCTTACACATCTGTGCACGCTATGCACATAGTAAACACTAAAATAATAATAATGAGGAGGAGGAGGAGGAGGAGGGGAAATTTTGGTGAAGCATAAGTTTGATTAAACTGCCCAATACTAAAAGAAAATATAAAAAATAAAATAAAAAGGAAAACATAGGAATTTGAGATCAGTATGTTCTTGATAAATATGTGTAGGTAGACACTGAATCATTTTCATTTTAATAAATGGGTCTATAAAGAATAAGAAGCTTATAAAAATGTTTCATATTTTCAATTATATATGCACCTATTATTTCAGGAACATTCTCATTCGCTGAGATGGGAATGTCAATTGGTACAGTTATTATGGAGGGCAGGTTGGAATATATATCCAAGCCTAGATGTCATGATGGTATTTGAATTTATCCCAGGGTTGTACAAAGATTTAGCTACAAGACTTTTATCAAACTATTGTTTGTAGAATGTGAAAATGTTTAAACATATCTCAAAAGTGGCAACAAAAATGAAGTGTATTTCATCCATTCGGTGAAATAATATTCAACTATTACATACAAAACTGTGAGAGGAAAGTTAATGAACAGGGGAAGTCAGTTGAATTTTCTGCTTTGACTCCATTAATAGACACTTTAATTCACAAATACACTCTCATTTCACTGATTCAAAGGACCCACTTCAAAATACTAACAGCATTCCAGTCTTCAAGACTAAATCCAGCCCTGCCAGTGGCATGAATGGAAGGCCTCTGAAGGAGGTGTGCGCAATCTGCTACTGCTCTCTCCCCAGTCTGTGCCCCACACCACATCCTGGAAGGCGCTTCCTTGACTCACACTGTTGCCTGACAGTTCAGTGCTCTCTGGGCCTGATGGGGTTTATTAGTAAACCTAACCCTTTCTCTTATGTGCCTTTAGCATAAGGTGACCAGATTTAGGGGCGTAAGAGGAGGAATACAGAACATTCAGATGATTTTGAATTCCAGATAAACAATAATTTTTAGTATAAATATAACTCAAATATTATATGGGACATACTTATAATAAAACTTATTCATTGTTTATCTGACACTGGAATTTCATCAGATGCCCTGCATTTTATCGGGCAAGTCTAACTTTAGTGGGTCCATCCGAGACTCCCCTGCTGGGCTCCTCCCAAGATCACTCTCTCAACCCAGACAAGGTCTCTCTTCACACTGGGTGCTCCCTGGTACCCCTCAGATCCTGTTCTAGTCATTAAGTGACTGCCTCTTACTGCCAGGTTCTCTTTAGCACCAAGACACCCTCTGGGCAAGATCCCTTTCCTATGTGCCCAAGCTGAGCCTCTCCCAGAGGGCCACACCCATCCTGGGATTTGCTACTATTTGCCTCATCTCTGGAGGGGTCTGCAGTTTCTTCTGCAGCCCCAGGACCTGGGCCTGGGTGTCAACAATGGCACAGAACACATCTCAAGGGGAATTTCTTTTCTCAAGGCTGAAGGTTAGGAGGCAGCAACTCCATTCACAGTCTTCCTCCTTGGGGTGAAGAGAGACTTACAATGCTGCTTTGTCCAAAGAAATGATTCTTGTAAAATTCTCTCTTCATTTCCGTGCCCTGAACCTTTTAAAATCCTTGATGTGGAGTGCAGTAGTCCCATAAGCAGTCATTAGCTCTGTTCTTTGTCAAGTGCTCAAATCGTGCTGTCTTCTTTCTCAACCTACAGCTGTGACTGCCCCACTGGGTGGAAAGGAGCCTTCTGCACGGAGACAGTTTCCACCTGTGACCCTGAACATGACCCTCCACACCACTGTGGCAAAGGGTCAACTTGTGTCTCGTTGCCTCATGGGTACACCTGTTCCTGTCCTCTGGGAACCACTGGAGTCCACTGTGAACAAGGTAAGGCCGAATTTCAGCTCATGCTGTCCACAAATTTAACTAAGTCAGTTTCCTTTGGGAAAAGTAAAATGAAGTATATATGATAATAAAAGATTCTCCTCTCTTTTCTCCCCAGGATATGTGACATTATAGTTCACAGATAAGAGAGTCCTCACAGTTCGGTAGTACACAAATAGGGCTTTGTTTTCAGAATTGTTGTGGTTTATTAACTCTAAGCCCCCTGTCTGTTTAGTCTAAACATTCTAGATGTTTTGTGCTAAGTGCAGTAACTCAATTTCAGAACAAGGCTCCATCTTTGATCTTCTTCCTTCTGTACCTTCTGTACCTTCCACTGACACAAAACTCTCAGGAGTAGCAAGAGGAAGATACGTCAGCTCTGGTTCAAAGGGAGAGAAGTTTGAGGGATGAAATGGCCCAAGTCCAGTGGGAAGGATAAGGAGCTTTCAATGTTCCAGATCTCATCAGCTTTACTGTTCTTCCTTATACCTATGATTGATCATATCCTTAACACTGGGGCCCTTTGAGTGCTCCCCACAGTCTCCTGAGTGCTCCCCACATGGGCTTGGCTAGTGCTAAGCGTACTTCTAGATCAGAGCTCTCCCCCCTTTATTTCGTAGCTTTCATAAGACCTTACGTGTTTCCTCCACATCACAAGCACGCTCTGGGGTAGGAGGGGGTAAGTGGAACAGGGCAGGCTTGTTCCCTCCTTAATAGAGATGGGCCGCAGTCATCCCTCCACTGTCCTCCTTGCAGCCAAATAGCTCAGGCTCCTCTTCCTAGACTACCTACCTCTCAGCCAACACGGGCAGAACAAGGAACATGGTTATCTATTGCCTGTCAACTACAAGCAGGAATTCCAACTGCATTTCATTTCCTCCTGTAATTCCCTGACCCCTACCCCAGCCTCCACACCCAGCTAACACTTACTTATCCTTCAGGTTTTCACTCAGCCCTTACTTCTTTAGGGAAGCCTTCTCCTTCATAGAACTGAGAGCAATGACTGTGCCTATTTTTGTGTATTGTTGTTGAATCTCTATTACCCATCCTATAGTATAGAATACAAACTCTGTTATAGATTTCAACTTAATAGTTCTAAAATAGTAAAAATGGATAGGGGCAATTTTTAAGAAATAGTTTTTTATTTTAGTGAACAATAAAGTACTCCAAACTTTACCTCTATAACTTCCATAGGAATAGCTACTAGAACCTGAGAGAAATAATAGGACAAGTTAACATAAGGACTGGTGATAGTAACAGTAGGGGAGGACAGATTTTTGAAGTTTAAAGGCACAGTAGATCATCAGCAAAAACTCTTGTATTTTCTAGATGATCGCAGTCCCTCATAATAGCTATTCCTTTAGTAAATATAACATAGGAACCAACAATGTAGAGGTAACATTTTATCAACAACAACCACACTCCAGTGGTCTCTGAAAGCATAATCACTAAAAGCCAAATATCTTCAAAACCAAAATTTGTCTTTAAATAAGTTATCAAACATTAGGGTTGAAAAGAGCCTTAAAAATCAGCCTTAAAAATCACTTAATCCTAATTATTTTTAAGATCAAAACTGTGACTGAGCAGGACTGAGGGAGGATATAAGTCTTCATACCGCCAATCCAATGAGTTTCACATTACCCCATGAAACCACTAGCTTTTACATTTTGTATGATGCCAGCTTTTATATTTTTACTATGGGCTCAGTGCACGAATTCATGCACCTTGAAAGGAACTGTGGGCCACGAGGCTGCGGTGGGCACAGGGACAGGTCTCAGCCCATCCTCCATGCCCCCTCCCACCACGGCCCCTGGTCCCCTGTCTGCCCGCAGCCCCACCCCCGCTGCACCCACGCACTGATGGTGCCAGCCCCATTTGCACCCGCTGACAGCGTGGAACTATTGGGGCCGGCGCCAGCAGCAGGTGCAAGTGGCAGCTGCTGCCCCAATCACCCCTCAGGAGCAGAGGGAAGTGGAGAAGCCCTCAGGCGCAATTAGGAATGGCAGCCACTGCTCACACCCACTGACAGCGCCAAGCAATCGGGGCCAGCAGCATGTGCAAGCAGCGGCTCTGGTGCTGGCAGCGGGTGCAAGCAGGGCTGAAGCAGGGCGGGACCTTGGCACACGGGAGCAAAGAATTTTCAGTAACCACCAGAGGCTCGCCCCAATGACAGTGACTGGCACCTCGCCTTGGTCTGGCACCCCCACTCACCTGCTCCACCATCCTGCTGTGGCCGACGCCTGCCATGTTCTGTGCACGCCCCCTGGTGGTCAGCACAGGTCATAGTGATTGGTTGTTCAGTTGTTCGGTTGTTCTGCTGTTCGGTCTATTTGCATATTAGCCTTTTAGTATATAGGATTTCATAATCAAAATATAAAAGCTAGCCATCACATGAAATAAGTGGAAATTTGTGCAGTCTGTGGTATGCAGAATTGATTAATAAAATGTCCTTGTCCCCGTATTTTAAATTGTCTAAAGTATTTTAAAGTATGTGTATATGTCTGAGAAGAGAGTGGCCGGGGGAAGTTTTTTATACTAACATTCTAATTTAAGTAGTAAAATATTATTTTATCTACCCCTTACTCTAAGATTGACTTGCCATTGGGAAAAAAAGTGATCCTTCAAGTCCCTTAAAACATTCACCTACAGCATATTTTCTTTCACTGGGACCTCACCCCAAACTTCTTTGGAATTCCACGAGGTATGGTGCTGTGGTAATAAAATGTCAACAGACCACTTGAACCCGATGGCATAAAGGATCCCAGCCACCAAAAGCGATTCAAAATATCTGAGCCTATTTCCAGAAGTACATGAATTCACAATTGTCACATTGTCTGACCCAGGAACTAGCTCAGAGAAGTGTTTTTAAACACCCAGAAGCCCTAAACCAGCTTTAAAAATGAAACTGAAGATGAAGAATGCTTGTCAGCAAGCATCTGGGTTGGATATTTCACAAGGACTATTGATCTTAAATTAAAAATAAATCATAATAAGTTAAACTAGGGTAGAATATTTTGCAATCTAGCTTAGTCATTAAAGCATTCAATTTAGGCAGAATTCTGGTTTACGATTATTTTCTGAGATAGAAAATATGTCCCATTTCTTTTCTCACACACAAATTTTGCTCATTTGCTCTTTTCTTCTGTGTTATTGCTCTTTCCTGCTAGAATTTATTAGTTCCAACTACACATATAACATTTCCTGGGTTGTACAATCTCTCCTCTCCATTTATTTTTCCCCACATTATTGGTGAATTGCTTTTTTTCCTTGGAACAGTTTTATACTACTAAATTCTAGCTCTTGCGTATCGTTGACATTTAGCCAAATGAGATTCCATAATATGTGTGGTTTTAACTTTCAGCCTACCAAGTACTGAAAATGTTTCCATTTTTCTTACATTCTTTCCATCCATGGTGCAATTTTCCTTCCATTCATTTCTCATTCCTTAAGGTAAAGAAACCCATGCACATGCTGGCATTTTGAATGAAACAGGCACATGTTTAAGCTACTTAGTCCCTTGATGTCAAGGGTACTTTATGGTTCAGTTACCAGTGGTTCTCAACCTTCCTAATGCCGTGACCCTTTAATACAGTTCCTCATGTTGTGGTGACCCCCAACCATAAAATTATTTTTGTTGCTACTTCGTAACTGTAATTTTGCTACTATTATGAATCGTAATGTAAATATCTGATATGCTATATGTGTTTTCCGATGGTCGCGATCCACAGGTTGAGAACCGCTGAATTGCCCTAGTTTTCATTGCAATTAATTCAAGCTCATGGAGAAGTTCAATTCTTCAAGCCTTCCTGACACATGGGGTGCTCTCCTGCCAAGCCTTTGGTCTTCCTAATAATAGCAAAATAATAGCTCCATCCATAGCACTATAGATGGAGCTTTCAAAAATCATTACTGTGTGCCTGTTTTCCTTTTGTTATTGTTGTTCATCCTCACCCAAGGATATTTTTTCCTTTGATTTTAGAAAGAGTGGAAGGAAGGGGGAGAGACAGAGAAACATTGAGGTGAGAGAGACACATTGATTGGTTGCCTCCTAAACTGCCCCAACCAGGGCCAGGGATTGAGCCTGCAACCAAGGTATGTGCCCTTTAGCAGAATCAAACCTGAGACCCTTCAGTCCACAGGCTGATGCTCTAACCACTGAGAAAACCGGCAATAGCTTTTTATATATTTTTTAATTGTTTTCCAAGAGAGGAAGTAAGAGGGAGAGAGAGAGAGAAACATCAATGATGAGAGAGAATCATTGATCAGCTGCCTCCTGCATGACCCCCACCAGGGATCGAGCCCTAAACCCGGCCATGTGCCCCAACTGAGAATCAAACCGTGACCTCCTGGTTCACAGATCAAGCTCAACCACTGAGCTACACCGGCCAGGCTGTGTGACGGTTTTCAGATGCATTTAGCCATGTGGGAATGCACCTGCTTTCTCTATAGAAAAATAAAAACAGCTTTAGTCTTTGTTTCCCCACTTTCAATCCCATTGTGATGATTACCAGGAATCCTATATAATAAAACCCTAATATGCAAATTGACCAAACAGCAGAATGACCGGTTGCTATGATGCGCACTGACCACCAGGGGGCAGACACTCAATGCAGGAGCTGCCCCCTGGTGGTCAGTGTGCTTCCATAGGGGGAGCGCCACTCAGCCAGAAGCCGGGCTCATGACTGGCGAGCACAGCGGCGGTGGGGGGAGCCTCTCCCGCCTCCATGGCAGTGCTAAGGACCCCTTGGGGGATGTCTGCCTGCCAGCTTAGGGAGCGGGCCTAACCCAGCAGGTGTACATCCCCCAAGGGGTCCTGGACTGCAAGAGGGTGCAGACCGGGCTGAGAGACACCCCTCCCCCCATCACCACCCCCGGATGTCGTGCACCGGGCCTCTAGTGTGATTATATGTGTACTAGATCCTCTATTCCTACAGTTTTATAATACTTTTTAAAAGTAAAAAATAAATGGGCACTAGCTATGATTCCTAGGAACACACATTTTAATTTCTTAGTCTTCTTTCTGTGCTTCTCAATACAACCTGCTAAACTATAAGTGAAACTTAGTGAGAAAGTGAATTATATGTAACAATGCTAAAGGTTATACAAACATTATGCTTTTTTAAAACATATTTTTATTGATTTCAGAGAGGACGGGAGAGGGAGGGAGGGATAGAAACAAATGATGAGAGTAAATCATTAATCGGCTGCCTCCTCCACACCCACTATTGGGATCAAGCCCAAAACCCAGCATGTGCCCTGACTGGGAATCAAACCATGACCTCCTGGTTCATATGTCAACACTCAACCACTGAGCCACACCAGCGGGCAACATTATGCTTTTTGAGTATCAAAAGGAATAGATGTTGCTAGTGAGTCTTAGAAAAAAATATACACAACTGTCATTTCCTAACCTTGGATCTTGGGCAAGTAAACTTAACTTTCCTGAATATCAGACTTCTCACATGTGAAAAGGGGATATGTAAAGATCTCGCTGTAGAGGAATTTGGGGCCAAAGTTCAGGGACAGTCCATTCTCCTTGCCAAGTCTTAAGTTAATGATTACTACTTTTTATAAGGTTGTGAGACAAAGGTTAAAAACTCCAAAGACAAACATCTACTCGAGGTTTTTCTTCAACAAAGTCCTTTTTAAGATAATATTAATAAACAAAA